TCTTCCGTGAGTTCTGGGTATTTACCTTGAAGTTCTTGAGCTAATCTCCTTCGAGCATCCCAAAACCCACACCATTTGGGGACATTGGAGGGTCACATAACTACATAATAGAGTCCAAAGATACTGCTCAGGGCAAAGCAATTGAATAGCAGAAAAATGGCCCAAGAAATGAGGCAACTTATTGAGAGAGAATGACCGAGTGAGTGAACATATCTTTCCCTACCAAAAACCTTGTAAAAGCTGCCTCTCCTGGCTTTCTTCACGCAGATATCCAATTCGATCGAGACCATCTCGCGGATGCCCTCTACAATCTCACTCAACGGCTTCACCGTGCAGTGCTGGAAGAGACCCGCCAAAGGATTCCGATCCTTACCATCCTGGAGAGGTATTTTTGATCTGATCAAAATTAATGCTCCAGCCGTCTACAAATATATTACTACTTGGAGTCGGAGTCGGAGAATCTTCTGGGGAAAGTGCAGAGCTTTACTAATATTTAGTGATCGAAAATCATTTTGTCACCTGGTCCAGGCTGGACAACTATACACTACACTGTCTTCACAAAGCCTCAGAGCCCCAAAGGGAGTCCAACTTTATCCTCGCCATTCCCACGGACGGCTCTGTGATCCCATGTGTCCTCCTGCCAGGCTGCAGAGATTCTGCTCAGGGAGGCTTTGGAGGCTTTGGGCGGCTCCATGACATGGCTTGATATGTGAGGCAAATATGCTCCAGTTGATATCTTAAATAGTCCGTGTGTTCAGGCTTCAGTCTTCAGGTTCTTTGCCATTCTAGTGTCTCATCTTATCACCCCAGTTCCATTGGTCGCAAAGAATACTTTCAGTGAGAAAGGCAGCCTTAAAGCAAGCTTCAACATCACCGAACTTCTTTCGTCCAATGTTTTCCCCGTGGCCTAAGCTTATCGACCTGGTCTGAGCCCAGTCGGCCATCGAAACTTTGCCAATCTCCTTCCGGTTGCATTTCATCATGAAACCAGAAGTAGATGCCTATCTAAATGCCTCCGTAAAACTCATGCCTTTTTGGGGTGAACTTGCAAGTCTTGTTCGACTGCTCTACGCAATTGCACTTAGCAAGAGGTGAAAACTGGTTGAACAGGAGACATTTTCCGGGGGATACCTCCACGGCGACGTTCTGCGCAGAACGTTCTGTATCATGTGGTTGTCCGAAAACAACATAGGTGGTTGCCGGGAAAAAGAAAACACTCAGCGAAGTCGCCTGGAAACCGAAGTCACGTTGACTCACTCACTCACCTGCCTCCTCCTCCGCGCGCTCAGCGGCGTGTCTTCTTTTTCCATTTCCCACCTCTAGCGACTCAGCCAGGGTGCGTTGGAGATCAAGTCCTGGCGCCGTCGTTCGGCTAGGAGGGTCGGTCGGGGTTTTCAGGCCAGGTCAACAGGTCTTAGGGCTACTTCCAAGGAACCATGCGGGATATTGCAGATAATATAATATATACATACGTGCATCGATTTAATTCGTGGGTGACAAAGGCTCTACGAAATTGTTGCTTTTGTGCAGGAGGGGCTTTTCATCAACGGCACTAGGAAGAAAAAAGATCTACTGTTTCTCAGCTTTATATGTGGGTGGGTCCAGGTGCTCCCTTCATTTCGAGGATTCCGTTCTTGGCATTTGACAAGTGCATGTTGTATGCAGAAGTTGCTATGATTTCTACATGTTATTATTGAGCATAGCAAGTCCCCCAACAAATGGATTCATGATGTCATTTACTTTCATATACCAGGACCGTTGCTGAAATCTACCTACTTTGCGGGGTTCACTCTGTCGTGGAAGTCTGTCTGCTTCCACAGGCGGTGCATCAAGAAGGACTTGTTTGGCCACTAGTCCAATCTCTAACTGCAAACAATCTGCGCTCAACAACTTTCAATCAATGTGCCAAAGGCTGGGGTGGGGAGATCTGGCAGAAGAAATTCCAAGGCGCAAAGAAACACTCAGACCCTTCCTCCCAAGAATAGCTGAGTAAGCGGCAAAATGATCGTTCAGAAAGTTGTTTCATCTATATACTTGGACTTGTCTTTTGGTTTTCCGGTTTCGTTTTCCAATCCTCTCACTCGTTACCAGAAGGTTGAAATGAATGCTGAGTGGTATGTTTTTTTTGCGCCTGTCTCTCAACTGTTGAAAACCAGGGCAAGGACAACAAATTCTGGTTTGACTACCCGCTAGGCTTCCCACCCCCCATCGTGCCTTTACCAAGCAACCATTGTTTTACTAAAGATTTTACACTACAAAACCAGGTCAACCTTTCTTTTAACGGTCTTGGAAGGCTAGACCACCAGAAATTGGCTCTTGAGCACGCGGAACTCACTTCGGCCTTGCTGACGAAGTGCATGTTGGGATTCCGGAACTCCTGCAGCTGAGATGGAGTGTTAGATCCAATGAGAAGCTGCTGCCGGATGCACTTGAGAAAACTAAGCCACTCCCAGGTTTCAATGGTGACTGAGACTGGCTGCGACGTGGCTGCAAAGAATGACCTGTTGGAGCAATCCAGGCCACACAAGAGTAAGCATGAATCCGGAGGGTCCTCAAAGGACTCGGCATGACGTTAAAGGCCATTTTGGCATGACGAACTGATCAAAAGCCAAAAGCAAAAGAAACATGTTCATAGGAAACATGACGTTTTGGTCGGTTTCAAAAGCCAAAAGCTGCATCAATTCGGTTTGCAACTGACCTTGGGCATGACGTGGCCTTTTGCAGGTCAACCCCAACGACTCGTGTAGACTTTTGTTGGGTAAGGCCCGGCTTGTAAAAACACCCGTTCAGCTGATGGAAAGATGTGGAAATCGACTCCCCACAGATCATATGAGGGGGTTGAAAGGATCATTAAAAATTCCCCACATATCAAGAGTCATTCAAATAGTCTACCTTGGGTCTATCTATCCTACTGACTGTTACAGGTCAGTTTGGACAGACCCACACGTCTACCCGTCATATCCCAACCTCGCTTCTTCTTCTCGCTGATCCCAAAGGACCGCTCCTCGTGGGTCTGGTCGATCTCAGCTAAGAGCTCCTTGGGCAAGGCCTCGCTCCGCCGAGGGCCGTTGACACCGGGCTTTCGATGGAGGCCGGGCTGTGACAGCGGCCCACGGGCGTGGACACCGCGGTACGCGGCGTATACGTACACGCGAGCTGTGACAGCGTGCTGTGGCGGGTTGGAAAGCGACCGAAGCATCGAGAAGTCACATGGGTTGAGAGCCACCAGAGGCCATTGGTTGAGCAGATTGCGCTTTGGGCATGTCCTCGGACCTTCCTGGAACTAATAAAACAGTGTCTAGCTTCTTCCGGTGGCTTTGTGACCAAGGGTCTCTCCGAGTCCCTCCCATCTGTCGAAGCTCCGTTTTACGCATGCCTTCGGTGTTATGACATCCTTCGGCATTCCTGGGCCAGTCCAATCCTGTACGTTCCGTTATGATCCATCCATCCTCTTTTCTGATTGATCTCAAAAATACGAGGAAACCTCAATCACGAAGCATTCATCTCCTTTCCTTTCTACCAGGCTCTACCAAGAAGGCACAAGCGTCACGTGATGTCACGTCTTCCCCCAATGCCCTGGGGAACATCGAAGGTCTCGGGAACCGTCGAACAGCGCGCGCCTTAATCTTGCATGCCCCCACGCACTCCTCGACCTGGAACTTCAGGTGGGCAGGTGAGACGCAAACCAGGTGAGAAGCAAAACCTGCAGGTTTGAAGGTCTGAGGTGTGAAGGTTTGGAGGTCTGAGGTCTGAGGTCTTTCAGGTGTCTGAAGTGTCTGAGGTCTGAACAGACCCGTGAGAACAGCAGGTCTGCAATCTCTTGAAAGAGGCCCCCAGTCCCAGGCCAGTACCAGAGACCTGCATGGCTCACCGAAAAGCATGAGGCATCCTGAGGTTTTGAAGAACTGCACCCACCGTCCAACAACCTGGCAGAAGTCCTTCCTGCCCAAGTGGTGCAGAAGTCCTTCCAGTTCTTCCATCAGACCCCTCCTTGGTTGCCATGGAGGACCGTAGGTCCTGCCCCCAAGGCCGACCAGACCCTCCACCCGCCTGGCGTTTGGTGGTCGTGCCAATGATCACCGCGCCCGCATGCGGCCGTTGGTTGGCCTGAAGACCACGCGGTGGCGCCGTGGGGGTGGCCACGTGGCGTGACCGTGCGGACCGGTGCAGCGAGCCGGAGACTGGGAGACCCCAGGCCTGCAGATGAAGGAAAAAATGGACGCAAAGACTGAAGTTGAAGCAGAGATTGGGGCTTCCCACATGTAGAGCAAAGATAGGGAACCTCCGAGATCTCACAGGGTGCTTGAAATCTCCTCCAGAAAAGCACTCCAACAACAGGCTCCTTCAAGAAAACCTCTGTCCAAAAGAACGTCATGCCCCAAAACCAAACAAATCCAGACCAAGGGAGGTCCAAATTCTTCTCCTCCAAAGTCATCTTCCAAGCCGAAATGACCAGAGCCGCAAGTGACCGGAACACCCTCCGGTCACCGGAACACCGTGGCTCTCGGTGACCGAGGAGCCCAAGCAACCGCCAGCTCCGTGGGCGTCAAGCCATACTTCTCCGCGAGCACCACGTAGCGCTCAGTGGCCTGGTGGACGAGGGCGGAGCTCGAGGGAAGGGGAGAGGGGCATGGTGGTGCAAGGGCTGAAGAGAAGGGTTGCAGCGCAAGGCGCCCCCGCGCCCAGAAGACTCCTGAGTCTTTACTTGAAACCTTTGTAAACGACTTACAGTTATATGAGTACGACCAAAGTCCGAAAAGAACGCGTCTCGGTTTAGAAAAGAAGGTGCTGGGGCCATGCTCCATGTCCTTTTCTCTTGGGTTTGCAGAGTGTAGACAAAAGTGTACAGTCATGGCATTTCAAATGCGTTCTCGGGGCGATCGACGTGGACCAAATGCACCGATCTCTACAACAAATGTCAAACAAATCTTGATCTGCTGAATTAGACATGTCTGCTCCTGGTCCAAACACAACCTCCCCAACCAACCGCCCGTTCGAGTTCAGGACTCACAGGACATCCCCACCTTCGCCGGCATCGGATAGGAGTACCGCGGCTGGAAGTTCGGCCGGGCGTGGTGCCGGCACTCGCCCAAGTCCCTCCCGGGGTCCTCGCCGCCAGCCGCGAGGTTTCGCGCGGCCAAAGGGCCCACTGCTCGGGCCCACCCGGAGGTGTCCGGAGGGCGGGTGCCATCCTCATGGCGGTCTTTAGAATCAAGCCCATGTCGATGTGTACGAAGGACCCGGTAATGGTCAAGTCAGCAACGCAGCAACACAAAGAAGAAACAAACCTATGATGGCATTGATGTGTAGGTCTCTAGCGACCAACACCAGCCATATATGCTAACATATCACCATGGTGGCATGGTTGATGTGAAAGGTCTCTAACATATCTTCTGTTGAGGCCCTTCACCCATGCGCCATGCATCCATCATCGAGAAGTCACTCAACACCCACGGCAGCAAAACGACCTGTCAGACTGACCACTTATGCGGTTTTCTTCAATCATAAAACATCACCCTCAATCCACCACGGATGCACCACTCATCCCATTGAGGTCCATGTCCTTCTTGGCATAAGGTGAGTCTCGTATGTACTTGCCACTCAGGACGCCTGAGTGGCACAGGGCAAGTATGGCAGCATGGCAGTGTCAAAGACAGAGAAGGAAAAAACAATACATGCTAGTTGGATCTTCAAATCGCATGGTCTTGACTCGCCAAACGTCCAAGTCCAATTCGTCGGCTAACCCCGTGGCCTCCGCAGAGCAGGCCGAAGTGGCAGCTGACCAGGCCAAAGCGGTGGCAAGCTTCGTAGCAGTCCTGGGAACTCCAACGAGGGCGGCCCAAGCAGTTTGATAGATGTGAATTCCAGGGAATCTGGGACCCATTGGATGGACATCCACATCCCCATGTGCAGCTATGGGGGAAAGAAGGAATTTGATTCTACATGCAGCCAAAGCCTCCAAGCAGTTTTTGTGGACTTTTGAAGCACATGGAGAGGTTTTGCGCGGCTTCGTCATTGTATACAACTATGCAACTCAGTGGTGTTCCAGATAGACTGAAGCCTGTGGGTGAACAAAAGAGATGGGTCGGTGAGACTCGGTGAGACCGTCGCTTCCAGATGGTTGTTCCAGTATGAACAACTCTTCTGAGCCTGCTGGACCTTCGGTGGCAGGCCCCCGCTCACTTTCACCGCCTATCCCACTCAAGGAAGTGCTTGGAAAACCTGGTTCAGTCTACTGTGCAAGGTTACAATCAGAATCAATCATACCTGTTCACTCATGTTCTGCGCACTCTTCCTTCTGTTCGACTCTTCCTTCCTTTTCAACGAGTCGATCCGAACCTGCTCACCTTCCGATCCGAAGCCCGAAGCCCACGAACGTCCCGGCGAACCTGCGGCCCAGGAGCCGTGTCGAAGATGCGGTTGTTCAGGGAGTAGTCGTTCTGCACGCACACGGGCCGCGGCACATTCAGCCGGTCGCAGGTGAGGCAAAGCATGGTCACCTCCGCCGTGAGGCAAGTTGGCAAGGCAAGTTGGCCAGTTGCTGTCTGAAGTTTTCCGTAATCTGCCGGTGATGGGGAGGGGGAGGGAGATGTGTCTGGTGTGGGAGGGTACCACACAGGGACATAGCTAGAAAATGAATGTACCCAAGATGCTGCTGGTGTTGCCCGGTCCGAGACCGCAGTCCCTCAGTCTCTGGGCTCTTGAGGCCGGTCCCAGACCAGCTCGAGGCCACCAAGCACGAGCAGCCCAGTGGCCCATCAAGCTAGCATAAAGGAGGGTGAACTCGCAACCGCCATGGTCTTGGTAATTCGATTTGGATCTCCCCGTTGATGTGGGAGGGCCTGGGCCCTCCCTCCCACTTCCGCTGGTCAACAGGATTCTTGGTCAACAGCCCGCGTCACAGCCGGCACCCCCCTAAGCGCTAGCCCCTCCGCCGCGCACGAAGAACGTTCACCGAGCGAACGTTTGCTGCCCCGAGCCACGCCGTAATTGTTCTCGTTGGAGAGGGCCCAGTGCTTGATCAATCCTGCAAGGGCCAAATCCATGAGACTCCGTGGTTCATTCACGAAAAAGGCCCCAACGAAAAAGAGAAACGCCTGGATTCAACCTGATTGGACTCGGTTTCTTCTGGTTGGTCCAGTGACCATGACTTGTGATTCAGAAGATCCTCCACAGAGTTCTCCACCACCCAACTCCCCCCGCACCGCAGAAACCCGCCGCCCCAAACCCAGCGGGGCCAACGAAAAGGGTGGGCCCAAGTGGTCCAGTGCACCCGCCGCGCCGCGCCACCGTCGTCCTGCGTCGAAAAGGGCCTTGATGGCCAGGACCTGGGCTTCAAAGTCCTTCACTTCACCTGCTGACGCGGACAGAGACGGAGGCCGAACGTGAGAGATGGCGGGGGGCTGCGTGACATGGCTGTTTGTGGACACATCGAGAACAGACAGACATGAGAAAAGATATCGGTGTTCTTGGAGGCGGAGAATAGTTGTTGCTGGTGTGTTCTCCCCTACAGAAAACCTGTGGAATTTGGTCAAGACAGGAGTGGAGGACCTAAGACATGAAATGTACACACATGTCTACTATTGTTTGGAAGACTTTGGAAGACTTCCCCCACCCATCCACCCACCCACGCCTTTGTCAAAAGATGGCACCGGTCGGTTCTTGTCCGGGAAATAGGAGATGCAACCAAAGACCGGCACGTTCCGGGTTGGCCAATGCCTTGAGCTGTCCACTGTTCAGAGATCGTTCTCGTTCCAAGATGTTCCAAGTAACACATGGTTGAGATGGATACCCCTTCGAAAAGCATGCGACACCTGCAAAACACAAATTGTATATAAACCCATCCTACTTGGCTACTCTGGTCTGCTATGGCCTATGCAGATTCCTACATTCCATCCGGACACCCATTCACACACTGAGTTTGACTATGGCACTCATCCTCGGACGACCACCGGGGCCTTTGCGGCGGAACGGCGGAAGCCCCACCGAAGGGGAGCCGCTGCGAATCCCACGCGAAGATCCGGAGTGTCTTTGGTTCCGGCGTGGGGAACCCGATCCTCGTTCCTCCTGAAAAAAAAAACGCACGAGTGACAAGGCTCAGGTAGTACAGGTCGATGTACTGGCACTTCCTCATTCCAAAATCCGCCAGCCAGTGGTCAGCGGTGTAAAAAACAGGAAGCTACGCTTCAAGGCATCTCAGAGTGAGTGATAGTGAGTGTATGTTTACAGAAACTGCCTTGCTGCAAAAAAAGTGCTTTTGGGGGGATGAAAAACAAGTGTAACTAGGTAACTAGGTTATAAAAATACCTCTTGTTCAAACTTATGCCAACGAACATTCCATGGTTGTGAGACGATGTTCACCACCTCTGTGGGGGAGTATTTGCATCATCCCTTGCTGATTGATGGTAGATAAACATTCCAGTGATGATTGATTCCGGAAGTACAGTCATACTGTCATACCATCTTCCATTCTCCAGTTGTAGAGTTCAAAAAAAACTGCTACCTCTTTGAATATGGCTCTATAATGCTCTATACTGAATTACGCCTCCACCTCTACGACCACTGATTCCCCGTAAAAGCCATTCTCTGCTGGTCTTACCAATTCTGAAGCCGTTGGCTCCAAGGCTAGATCCACTATTCCCAGAAATACAACGAAAACCTATCGGAGCGCCGAACCGCTGCCACGGCACAATCGCTCAATGGATGCCTTACACGAGGCCAAGAGCGACTCTTGGTCGAAGCCCCACGGCTTCTTGCGCCCTGCGGCACGAAGCCGACCGGGCCCAACAAGAAGCTACTAGTAGCAAGGACGCTACTAGGTGGAGGCCATCGCGAGTAGGTTGGAGGCCATCGCTACTAGTAACAAGAAGCTTCTATAGGGTGGAGGCCGTTTCTACTAGTGGCAAGGGCGCTTCTTGTCAATGGTCAGTGAACATGGGAAGCCAGTTGTACAAGGCTTTTGGTCGATGAAGTCAGAGTTGCTTAGGTGGCCCAAATGTCCTAAGTCAACCTGGAGGTTGCACAAGCCAAAACAGCTCAATTGAGAAATCTACTCCAGCTGAGGCTACTTGAGCCGACGACTGAAGCAACGACCATCTTGACAAGCCGAACCAACGCCTCCTTGAAACAAACCAGAACTCAGCACCAGGTACCAACATCAAATGGCGTTGGTTCTTGACAGCCAGAGAAAGCTGCCCATGTCACCCAATGCACAAAAATTTGTCACTTCTTCTTTTTTGGGGTGACTTGCTTAGTGGTGAGCCCCGAACATAGAACCTCCCCCCCCCGCCAGGAACCCACCATAGTGCCCCTTTCATGTTCCGCTCCTTTCATGTCCGGTGCACCATTGTTGGAGGGATTCCTCGGACATATGCGGTGCTGGCGGGCAGTCAGCACCAACTTCTCTCGTGCGTCACGGGCGAGGACCCATGGGATGAGTTGTGAACAGGAGTCGTAGCCAGATGGACGGAGGACCACATGACCCAAATAAGGCGCCAAAAAGCAATGATAGCAAACCCAAGGCTATGCAAGTTGGCCTCAGGACAAGGCCTTGCCTCATCAGGCTCCCTTGGGTGGCAGAAGACGCTCCAAGTTCCGCACAACTTTGTTGAGGGAAAAGGTCATCAAAATGCTGGGAGCGCTCACCTATCTTGCGTCGACTTTTTGACTGAAACCTCAGGTAACTCAGGTACTCTTGTGTTTCACCCAAAAGGAACATCGGCTCAAAGAAATCAGCTCTAGGCATGCTGGTATCCATATGGAATGAAGGGTTTCCTGTGACCCTCTCTCTGAGGGGCATCCTTTTCCTCGCATCATGCACTATCCACCAACACTCGTCCTTGCCAAGCGCAGGCGAGAGGCGCTTTGGTGGCGATATAAAACCTCATCGGCACGGCTTCGCATGGCTTCGTGGGTTAAGTCACGTCAGAGACTTGTAGATTGGAGGTTTAGCCCTTGTGATTTCGTTGCGTTCAAGTCCAGTTGGGAAGCCACGTCCTGAAAATGGGGGGGACGTGGCTTCAGATACCCATCGCATGTTCAAAACTAAGCACCCATAGCAACAGCAACGCAACCCCATTAAGAATAGAAGCTAACAGCATCAAACAGCCATGTTCCAATTGTGTGCCCATGCTTTGCTGCCTAAGCCACTGATCTCGTTGGATCTTTTTGGCCGCAAGGGCTCCCTCCAACCAATGGCCGATCCATTCCTCCGTCACCTTGCCGCCCTCGAAGGGCACCGGGTACCTGTGCACCGTTCTTTTCGCATCTTTTTTGAGCCGTGGCAGAGAGGGAAGATCGGATGAGCAAAGCGCAGACCCGGTTATTTGTCGAAACAAAAGAAGAACACAAATGAATTGACTGGTGAAGCTGCCAAGAGTTGTGGAAGATTCTGGACGCTTGGACTGTTTGCAACACCCAATCTCCCATGACCCACGGTGTTCTGATTCTGGGTAGCCCTTCAAATCATTCATGGGGAATCTTCCCATTTGAGGCATGGATCAAGTGAAGCTCTACATCACGGGCCCAATTCCTTGAGATGCGTGTAGAAAAATGTGTGTGTGTGTGTTTGGACGGACTCAGTCGGGGGAATGCACATGTGTGTAACGGCTCGCGTTCTGTGGCTGACCTTGGGTAGATCCCATGACCAGGTTCCCTGAACTGGGCGATCTTGCCCATGTAGCACTGATGTTCATGCATAGTTTCCCTAAACTTCAGAGGATGATGAATTGTCTTAGCTTACAGGCCTTTCTCAAGGGTGATCATCTTTTGCCAGCTCCATATGAAGGGACACACCCCAACCTCACCTGACTTTGGTGTTCGCTCGAGCTCGATGGACTCTCTGGGGCGATGTTCCGCCGCGGAGCCGCCGCGTTTTCCCTGCCGTCACCGGTGCGACCGCTGTTCCAGCGGTGGCGGGCCCCACTGCTCCATGTCATGGAAAACCCGACGAAGTTCGAACGAACGAACGATGGCACAGTTCAAGGGAAAGGGAGAGCCCATCTCCGCACAAATAGGCTTGGCAGGGTGTACTGTGTCTCAAGTCATTGGAGTTTACCCCCCCGACTCCAACTACAAACGCCATGCGCTGGAGCAGCTCCCGCCCCCACCCGCTGTAGTTGCGGGTCACAGCTCGGCTGTGTCAATGAAGTTGACGCCCTGCTCAACGAGGGCGTCCAACTGCTCGTGGGCCATCCTTTCCTCTACAACAGCTGGATGTTGACAAACCTCTCACAACGTTCATTCGCCAATCGAAGCAAAGATCCAAAAGTGAGATTATGATTAGGCGGTTCTCTTGCCTTGAAAGTAAACGCTGCACTTTTCATTTGCCTTGGAAAAGCAAAGCATCAAGTCAAGGAGTGTCTTTGCTTTTTCAAGAACGTCGTCCTCCAAGGTCAAATTCCACCCTTTGGTCCCAATTCAGGAACGGGCGTTACCCGCAAAAACAGCTGCTCGCCAGACAGGCGTTCGCCAGATCAACCAATCCACTACCTTCTTTTGGGCTAAGTTATGCATATCTTCCTAATGCTCAAAATTCCAATGGGATCAACCATGAAAGATCAACCAATGGTCTCTTCCCCTGAACTTCCTGCATCAGCCACATCAGCTCACCACCCATGCCACCACGCCCGCACGCGAGCACGCCCACGCTGCACGGCGCGTAGGGCCTCCTTGTTCAAGGTCCCCCACATCATGGTACCGCCACAGGCGCGAGACACCATCATGTCCTCGGAACTGGAGAGGCACCGACGCACTGACTGGAAACGTGGACGGCCTGCGGTGTCTTGGGCAGCCGGGTTGAATTGAATCCGTCTCCCCCAGTCCCCCAGTCGTAGTGACAACTAGAAACTATATGCGGGGATCTAACTTCCACTCATTTATGGAGCCAAAGCACATCTTCAACGGTCTGTGGGCCACTAGACTTGAGATTCTTCACAAATCCAAAACTGACCATACTCAATTGATGTTAAGTTCTCCACCCATGACGCACACGCCGAAATCTCTGCTGGCTCGGCACCGTTCGTCCAAACTGCACACGCGGCAAGGACTCCAGTCTCTCAATGGTCGCCATGGGCTCAAGAACTCCAAACGGATGACCGAGTTGGGCCACGAACTGCTCCAGCTCCAGCTCTTTGTACGTAAAAATGCCAGCAACACTGTTGGTTTGGCGCTGGTTCAAAACTCCTGATGACCTGATGACCTGATGACCTCTGGCGGTCGTTTTTTCATGAATTCGGTCCAGCGGTCCAGGGGTCCAGCGATCACCCAAGAGGTCCCAAAAATATGAAGCCGCTGTCGATGTTGCACCTGCGTTGATGGATCAGTTCTTCGTCTGAGTCTTGGCTTGCTGAATTTCTGGAGCCGTTGTCTCCGTCGATTTACCAAGACCCTAGGAATGCCACTATATACTTTGACGCCTCTTGCAGAAACATGTTTCAGGCATCAATCAAGCTTCAAAGACAAGAGAATCTGATCATTTCAGCCTCTGAGATTCAACGGCATGACGGAGGCCAAGTGCCTTCAAATCGGTCTTATCAACGCACACTTCTACCAGAGCGGTTTCAAGGGCTGAATTTGAGACGAGGCCTTTACACACCTTCCTGAATTTGGCTTTCCAGCGGGGAGATCACAAATTGGGAAGATTAGTGAACCCTGTACTCTGCTAGCTGCCACGGTGAGCTACTGGCGCTTGCTTCAGCGTTTTCCTCGCTCCTTTTCTTGCTGGACTTGCCAAGTGGCTCTGTGCCGAATTGATCGTTCAGGGTGAGCTGATTCCAGCCATGGCAGCGGGTCATTGACCCAAAGCCATGTTCGGAATCTGGGGTAAACTCTGGGCCGTCTGGATTTGCTCTCAACACGACCAAATCCATGAGAAGAATCAAGAATCCCAAAACTCCTGAAAACGTCAGGACTTCTAATATCTCTAATGCATTCCAATGCCAGATTGCACAACAGTTCTGTGTGACCAGTGGTACAACTTGGGGTGCGGTCCAATCTTTGTCGTCTCCTACTCACTCTTTAAACTGCACCAGGTAGGAAGCCCTGCAACGCTGGGCTCACGCTGCTGAGCCATGCAGCTGGGCTCACACAGTGACCTAGTGGCGCAGCCAGGTGTGTGTGTGTGTGTGTGCATGGCCGGCAAGGAACTGCCAGGGGCTTTGGACAACAACCATGTTGGTTTGTATTTTTTGGCAGAGTATTGTGATGACTTCAATGAAACTTCAAGAGAAAAGCTGCAACATCTTCTGATATTGATGCAGTTGCGTGAGAGACTCGGACACCTCTCTCCGACTTTTACCTGACTTTATTTTAACAGGCTACCACTTTCCGTGGGTACTGACGTGGTATTTAACAGAACAGACTGGGTGTTACAGTGGTTTGTTTCTACCAGGCTTTGAGTCAAGTTCTTTTCCTTTCTTTTGCTGGTGTTGCGACGCTTTGTTGCGCTGTTCATTGCAAACCGATTCGGGCTGCATGGTATAACAGGGGTTTGACGAACATCCGCATCGACGTGTATGCACAGTGTTGAGGACACGGACAAAGCAAAGCAAAACAAAACAAAACAAAAGCGGACACGGACAACCACCGGTTCGTTGAGGTCCGTGACCAGCTCGGGGACCCAGTTGGATCCAGTTGGTGCAAAAGATCGGTTCGAGCCAATGCGACTCCGAAAGAGCAACAGACCGGCCAACAAACTTTCTCTGATGGAGAATCGTCTGTTGATCTCTGATCTTGTAACCTATTCTGTTGATGGAGAATAGTTGGTTGATTCTCTTTGGCCAACAAACTCGTAAACCTGCTATGCCACGGACATCTCACGTCAAACCCACCCTTCCAAATCACTCTGCACACCTATCCACCAAAAATGGTGCAGCCTAGCATCTATTCTTGCGTACAACCCCAAATTGGCACTAAGCCCCAATCTAACACGTCGTGCTTTCAGAGAGATCTTAAAAACATCATTGGCCGTCCGACAAGTCCGGCCAGAGAGACCTGCCAATCATTGCTAAGTGGCAGTGGTAGCGTAGGGTCGTGCTGCAGCTTCTTAGCTTCTTCCATAAATCTGCTCAGGTCCTGGGTGTGAAGTCAGCAGTTCTGCAAGCTTTGGACATGAAAACTTTGTTTTTTGGTCATGGCGGCTAACACAGTGTAAGGCCGTCGAGTTCCCCTTTGATTCTGTTGAGCAGGGGAGTCCGAAATTCCTGCGATCTGAAGGAGCTGCAGCACTTGCACGCTCACAGCCCATCATACCTCCAACCTATGTGCACTTCACATCCTGAACGAAGTAGGTTTTTGACACTAGATTCAATCTAACTTTAAACTTTAAACAATTGAAGAATGAGCACATGAGCCCCTTGAGCTCAAGAACTCCAGTCATTCGACATGGCAGCTTCAGGTTGCCGATCACAATGGTTTGGCCCTGAAATGCAGTCGCATGAGGCTGAACACAAAGCTCTTCAGATCCTGGACCAGGTAGTAGAACACTCGAAGTCCTTCTGGATCCTTGGAAGCCTGCACATCTGCTAGAGAACCAACCTTGGATGTTGAGAAAATGATGTGGTCTTTCCCGCAAACGACTTCCAGTTCCTGTCGACCAATGCGATCGGGGGCAGGCCAGTGATTGTCATCCTCCTTCAAGATCTCACTGTCTTCAATCATCTTCCTGAGCACCCTCAGCACTGCCGAAGTCACGTGGACCTCTTTGCGAATCATTTCATATTTTTTGTAATTTGAGTTGTTGGCATACCGCAGGCGTCCATCTGGACGAAACTCAAACTCGAGGAAATCGTGGCCAAATTTCCCACTGTGGCCCACATAGTACCTAACATAAAAGTCATCATTCTCCCCAGGGATGGAAGTAAATCGAGGACGGTCCTCCATGTCAGGAGGAGAAGGTGCTGCTTCTTTGAAGGCTTCTGCTCGAGGGTGGGTAGCTTGATCACTTGGACCTCCACTCAATGGCTTGGACGTCCCTCTGCTACGCATAGTGGCGGAGCGGCCATGGTTCGTGGTGTCCCAAGCCAACAAAAACCTGGCGATGAGCTCACCTGGCGCTTCTCTGGCATTTCTATGAACAATGCACCACACCTTGGTAGGGACTCCTCCTGGCTTCTGCTTGGCATAGTCTTGCAGCGCCTTCAACCGGCGATTGCCGCAAATGACCCACAAAGCCAGATTCCACTGCAAGCAGACCAGAGGAGGAAGATCCTCGCTCTTCACCTCGCCATTCTCGAATTTCCGGCATAGCTCGACCACCTTCTGCCCCTTGTGTGGCCCATGGCGGAACCTGGCCGAAACTTGATGGTGTGTATGCCTCAGATTCATCACATCAACAAGGCGCAGCAAGTGGCCCCATTTCTGCATAGCCCTCGGTTGGTAAGAGGGGTCAAAGTCCTTGCACCCCTGGCGCAAGCTCTGGAGAAAGGCCTGTTGCTCATCATCAAACCTACGTGGTCCCTGGTCACTTTGATCTTGTACTTCCAGTTCTTCCTTCACAGGGATCAGAAGCTTCTGCAGCTCTCGCAGAAGTTCAAAGATGGAAAACACCTCCACACCACGCCACGTCACACCCTCGATTTCAATCTGCTCATCTGCCATTGAGTCTCAAACCGCTGAAGGCGCTTGGTCTGAACCCTGAATGGCTTCAAAAACCAGCCAACCAGAACACGAAGTGATGTCCCTCCGAACTGATTCAGGTCCGGTCCACCAGTCTACCGGGGCCACTGAGGTCCGGTCCGCACTGGGAGGGCCACGTCCTGGCCGAGTGCGTGGTTCGTGAAGCCGGTACCGCAACGTCACCAGGAGAGCATGGCACCGGTGTCTGATCGAGTCAAATGAATGGAATACCATGTCTCAATTCCACACACGAGGTTCAGGTTCTGTCATCACTCACACAACCCCTTTTTCGGTCGTGAACGAGCGAAGTGAGAGAGTGAACGAGTGAACGAGCAAGCATCGTGATCGTTCAATTGGTAGCAGTATGTGTACCCCTGGGTTCAGGAAAATCCCAAGAAAATAGGAACCTTGAAGAATATCACTGAGCCACCAGGTGGCTGAATAAAGTGGTTCGAGGGTCGACTCATCTTGGGACGCACTCAAGAACCAGAGAGATTCAACAGCAGTTTTTGAACCGGGAACAAATGAAAAAACACTATAAGCATCTGTTTTTCTCTGGCATTCGCAGCTAAGAATCCAAGAATGGTATAATAGTAGAATCAGAGTCCCTCCGCAATCTCTCAACATGGCCCTCCTGCTTACAGTCTCCACCAACAGAGGACTTGGCGATGAGTAACGAGCAAAGAGCTTTGGGAAGGAAAGATGGTACGTCGCAAAGCTCTGCGCGGCATCCAGCGTGCCATAGGCTGTATGATCTTCCAACCACATCGCGTATTTCAATAGGGCCCAATGGGTAGACTCGTCAATTTCTCTCTTCCAGCGGGTTCTTTGGGAGGTCTCCCTATTTTGATACCCACCCACATAGTTCCTGGGAAAACCTAATCCCCCTAAGCTTTGGATGAGATCGGCTCACCAATGGGATGCACACCAAAGATTGGCATGGAAACTTGGTTTATGAGCAGTTTGTACAGTTTTCCACGAGCCCATGTCCATCTTTGGGGGAGTCAGGTATATAAATGGAGGGCTCAAGAGAGGCGACGGAAGCTAGCAGTCAAGGCGGTGCACTTAATTGACCTGTCCGCTCATGAAAAATGAAGTGGGTGGATTGACGGTTCGGGTCCGCCAATCAGCTCAACCCAACGACATGACCATTTCGGCGCCTGGCCAGCATTCCCATGAAGAAGGGGCTGCTGTTCTAGAAGCTCCGTTGGCAAAAGAGCCAAAACAGCAACTCTAGGAGGGCCTGCCTAATCTGCCTCCCACCAAGCTGCCTCAGGAAGTGGAAGACATGTCAAAACGACTCATGTACTCATGTACTCAGAGGCCCAACTTTTCTGAGGCTGTGATTCCTTCAGGATAATTCATAACCATGCATGTATATGCTCTATTTTGATCTTTGGAAGAACCTCAAATACACCTTCACAACACCCCCGCCCCATCCGCAGCCGCTTCGTGAATCACACGTTCCACGCTTCGTGCATCACCCGTTCCATCACTCGAGTGCCACCCGACCAATCTCAGGCGGCGCGTCGTGTCGGAGAAAAGCGGCTGGGCACCAAAGAAATGACCCAAACGGCCACCGCCCCCGTCGGACGGGCGCGGTTGGGTGCGGCATGCCCCGGGGAGAGGGAAATGTAGGGAGACCCACGGTTCTTCCCTATAAAGTAGTCCATAAATGGTCAGGACTTCTGAATCATCTGTTTGTTGGTAAGGGCTACAGCCTGACGACTGTGACTGAGGTCTAAAGGGTTTTTTCTGGATTTGAGACTCCAAACGGCCGCCACACCCAAGCCACGGTCGTGCCCAACAAGGTGAGGCGGAGTGTTCCAGAAGGTTGGCCAGATGATGGGCCGCACTCTTTATGGAGAAGAGGAATCTTTTGACTCTCCAAAAAGCGAAAGAACTGTTCAGTGAACCCCAAACAAATCATGGAAAATTGTTCCAAACAAATCCATTTGTGGGGATCTCATTCTACCATATTCTACCTTGCCACGAGAACCCATAGCAACCCGCGATGGCAGGTCTTAAGGAGAAGCCCTTCCATCAGTCCAACTCCAAACAAGTTCGTTCAATTTCTCGTGGAGGTTTTTTGCCGGACGGTCGTAGAGGTTTTGACCCAGGACTAGTAGACGTGCCCAAGAAGAACAATGGAAGAACAATGGATCTTCTTGGACTGAATCTGAAAAGGCTCTCCACCTCACCAAAAACAGCTACTGAGTCCCAAAAGCTCCTGCGCGGTTCAAGCAGCTGCCATGCAGGTGGCCCACAGCTCACCCCGCGCGGGGGCGACGTCCGACGTCGAACGTGCCATGGGACCCCCCAACACTCCCGGACGGAGGTCCACCGCTTGGCGGGGACCCGGTCGGGAGGGTCGGGCCTTCGAACTACGGGAGAGAGACCGGGAACTTGAACGATGGGACGTTGGATTCATCTGCGCAGACGTTGCTTCAGCTTTGGGACGTTGGATCTGTATATAATTCTGTTTCTTTGGGATAGCTGTTGAATCCGCCATCAACTGGATCTGGACGGATCAAATCTGCTGGTTCAGTTCGATAGGACCCCAAACAAAATATGAGTTCCAGAAACTAATCTCACCAAACTCTTCCAAGCCAGAAAAAGCTCTCAATTCTAGCTTGTAGTTTAGTTTTGAGTGCCAGAAGCTCTGGAGGCCATCATCCCCGAATCCCTCTTGAAAAAAATACTTCAGCTCCGTCCCTTCATGTGCATGCCGTTCGTCCGCTCCGTCTCACCTCCTACCTACGCCTTCGGGTAGCTTGGCAGCCCGCTGCTGGAGAGTGAGACGGCCCGTTCAAATCGCTTCGCGTGGTGAGGAATCCTTACAGTCGGACCGAGCGAGCGGCTTTGCTGGTCGGTGGTGGTTGGAAGGGCAGATTTCTGGCGGCTAGAAACTGTGAGTGGAGTGGAGTGGAGTGGAGTGGAGCGGAGTGGAGTGAGACCCCATCAGTGCTTACTGAGGGTCTTCCTTTCATAGTAAAGGTTGGTCGAGGTCTCATCCAGCCCTCGCTCAGAAGTCGGGGGAGAGAGAGGGACTTTGAAGGATTTGGGTCACACCAAGACTCCATAAATAGACGTAGATCAGGAACTTACACCGCCAAAGAAAGGATCAAGACCTCAGGAAACATACGTTGATTCAGTTGAGGTTTTGCCGATGGCCACGTTCCCCTTACACAGCTAGCCGCTGGCCAACTTCTTCAGCCATTTTCTGTGGAGGTCAGGATCCCAGGCAGCACCGATGATCCCAGCATCCAGCATGAAACTGCACCCAAAACCAAAGGGTCATCGGTCCTTGTCGGGCTCCAAAAAGCCGGCCCGAAAAAGCAACACAAGTCCTCTCTACGTCTTCTTCCACGCTTCGCTCAAGCCGAGGGGCACCACTCGCGCCACACTGTCACCCCCCCACGGAAACCGCGGGGAAACCCCCTTCGTGCTGACCAACCAACCTCTCCAACCTGCCCTTGACTCCACCCGCCCAAACCGTGCCGAGCTCATTCGGTGCCCCGGGCGTGGCGCTGTGCCCACGAGCCGCGAAGGCGCCGGCGGACCAACTGGGCGGCTTCTTGCTGAGCGCCAACCTGGGTTCGTCTGCTACGACAGGGTTCGACACGGCAAAATCACGGGGGTTGGGACGGTCAACATAGAATTCATGACCTGCGGTGAGGAAGAGGAGCCAAAAATCTCGGAGGAAAAGTTGGAAGAAGTCCCAATGGAAAGTGGCTCAAGAACAGCCCTTTCTTGTCCTGTCACATGGGTTTCCCTTATCTTGTTTCAAAATCCAAACCGTCATCTTGCCTTCCGTGCGTTCAATGCGAAAAAAAGAGCCCTCCCCCCCCACATCTCGATGCGATAGGCATGTACGGCGGCGCGCTCCTTTTGAGCCAAGTGACTCATACTTGGACTTTTCAATCCAAGGTGGCAAGTACTGCTCTCCCTAGCGGCACAGCCACAGTGAAATGGTGGGAAAAGGACCCTCTGGGTGATGCGCAAGAACTAAATTCGGGCATGAGCCTTCCTTTTACCCCAACATGAAGCTAAATGATCAGTTCTTGTGACGCCGGTGTCAACCCTAGCAATTAGCACCGAAAAATGATCACCCACGAGTAACAAACTTTGGCAGTGGACCCACCTGGAGCAGCCCTGGTGCCGACGTGCAGCGCTGAAGGCTCCTGGAGGTGCCCAAACCGGGTTGCTGTGGGCTTGCCTGGGGGGAGCGCAAACACGTGAGAGCATACATATATGAGTCACACGTGTGAGAGCACAAGTATGGCATCTGGGAGCATACATGTGAGAGGACGGGTGATGGCACATGAGAGCACACATCAAAATGCACCCATATGGGAACACATATGTGCACTTTGAGTTCACAAAGTGTTGCCCCTGCCACCAAATCTGCACTTCGATGTTCTCAAATCGATCCGCCCGCCACGAAATCTGCACACAGGTTCTCAACGGGCAACAGGGTCACTTTAGAACGCTTTGAGAGGCTAGATTGGAACACGCTTTGAAAGGTTGGTTTGGAACTCACACTTTGAAGGATTCCTTTGGAACACAGGCTCAGTTCACTTTAAGTTCACTTTCAACAACCTGCCAATTCAATGGGTGGGGTGGGCGTACGGGGAAGGAGCATGGAGAGGGTGGGGATGTGGCTGGGTCAAGTTAGCAAAAGCCAATTCACATCTTCTTTTCGCGTTCAAAAGCGGCGGCCCCTGCGTTCTGAAGCAACCCCTCAAATTGCAATCGGAAGTGGCCCCTCACAAAGCGCTGCACCTGCTACGAAATTTGAGGATCACAAAGTGCTGCGTCTGCTGCGAATCTGCACTTAGCAATTCACAAAAACGCTGAGCCTGCCATGAAATGTGTGCTCTGCCCTTGCCACGACGAAATCTGCATCTCCGTGCCCTGACCGTGCATTGCGAGATTTGGTGCGTTTGCGCATTGCGCCACAATTCATCACCTACGTGGCAGAAGGTAGCCGCTGGCCGGCACGCGGGTTTTGCAACAGCTCGGCCGAGTTTCAACTTCAGCATGCGCGTCCCCGACATGAGAAAAAAGGCATTAGAGGTCATTACTATTGGCAGGATCAGAAGCTTCTGGAGTGGCAAAGCTGTTGGCATCTCACATGGTCAAGGATGCCAACGTCTGCAGGCCTGCATTCTGCGCAACGTTTTGGAAAAAGGTTGTCTCCCTTGCCATAATGACCCTGCGTGCTGCCTGAACGAGACCTGACATATGTTCCGACCTCAATAATTTTGGCGTCAAGAAGGCTGACATGTGTTTTCTGACATACCTTCTGACCTTCGGTATCTGACATACGCAAATGCTGATCACAAAGACTACGAGCTCACCGGTGAGCTCGCTATGTGTTTGCTGGCAAGGCGGAGCTGATGAGCAGGGAGTTTTAGGAGGAGGAGGAGCAGAAAATTCATATGAAATCTAGAGACCCTCACTGGGAATCTAGAAATTCATCAATAATTATGGCCCTTTGCTCCCACCCATGGGCCTATATCAAGGGGATTCTTGGACTTGCTTCAGAATATATAAAAAAAACCAAATGATATGTTTCAGGCAAAACCTCAAACACCATGGTGTCCATTTTGATCACCAACCAACCAACCAGTGGGACCAAACCCAACCAAACCAAGCTCTTCCCAAAACCGCCTCCCAAACTGCGAGCACATGCGGAAAGCGGACGCAGGACCCGCGCCGCGTGGGACCCGCAGCTCCTGGAGGCACGGGCGTCCTCGCGGGACTTGGGCCTCAGCGTCCCGTCGTGCATGATGGTCACGCCACCGCCTGGATCGGTTTGCGTTCGGCCGAGAGTGGCGAGAGTGGCGAGGAGCGGGTGACATGGGGGGAAGACCAGGGAGAGGAAACGACCTCAGGAAGGCAAGCACAGCCCAACAGCTTTGGTATCTGTTCCCAAACACAAACTCTTCATGAAAAATGCCTCCTCACCTCCACCTCCAGCATCCTTCCCGTTTGGGTGCCTAGTGGACGTGCCAGAGGGTCATGCTTGTCCACCAGCTGCCCCGTCTGCCTTGGCTCCAAGGGTAGTTGAGACTCAAGTCTTCACTGGCAAGTCTTCACTGACCCATTGCTTCTGCTAAAAGCCTCTTGTGGGCCCCCGGACACCAAGTAGGACTTGTTGTACCAACGTGCAATCCTCTGCCTGACGGAGTGAATGCAATCAAAGCAATGGCTTGTCAAGGCTGACAACAAACAGGCTTGAGAATTCTGAATCTCAAAGCTTCAAGGCTGTAAGGCGATCCTTGCTGGCAAAGCCATCAGTGCAAGGTATGAGAGTAAGTGATAGGTCTATCACACCAAGCATGCTGGTCACTCTGGGATCAATCAACTACAAGCAAAAGTATCCATCAAGGTGGCTCACCACAGATGGCGGCTGTCCACAGATGGGCCTGGTGGTGGTGTCCACGATATGACTGGACGAGTGCAAAATGTGCTGCGTCCCGTTGGTCTTCGGGCAGTGCCACACATCCTGGACGGAGGCCGCCCCGTCGTGCGGCGGCGAAGGTCCAGCTGTTTCTCTCCCCTCTCTGATCTCCCCCAAAAGCATGCTCAAGCTGGGTTTCGGCCGAAATCATAGTGGTTCAGAGGTATTTTCAGGGCAAAGGCCTCTGACTCCTACCAATGCTGAGCTGGCAGCTGGAGATCATCAAGTCCAACTTCACCATAGAGCAAAGGCTGTGAAGTCTGAAGTCCTGCCTAGACCTCCACCCCCATGGTTGCTTGCAGTTTGGTGGTTCCGCTGGTCAAAGACCCCAGCGAGCTCATACCCAAGAGCAAAAAGAAAGAAGAGACCAGAAGACTCAAAGTACTTCTTGATCTTGTTGCTAGGCTTTTGTCTTGAACAGGATGGCTTGCAACGCATGCAACATTTGTCTCCAACCAAAAATTAACTTGACAGGCTGCCCAAGTGCTAAAGAACTGTGATCACCTGCTGCCTCTTGACGTGTGAGTGAGCTTCCATCTATGTGTGTGGATAGGACTTAGGACTGGAGGAAATCCTGCCCTATCTGGGAGACAAACAACCCGTTTTGCACTCCGGTTGGAGCCTCCAGAGTTGCGAAGCAAACCTCCGGTTGGAGCCTCTAGACGTCATATGATTCATATGATAGAATCCGACCAAACGAATAACAAGGGGAACAAAGGGAGTCTGACTGGCCCAAAGAGAGACAGTTTTTGTCCAATCCGACCAAAGTGCCAATTGAGTCTTCAAAACGCCATTCAGCTTGTCGTGTGTGCAGGGCACCGCTTGGTCGTAGACCTAGAAAGACACATGACTTTTTGGCGAGATTGACACCATCGGGGTGTTGGGTCTAGCAACTCATGCCGGTTTTGGGCTGTTTCCTTTGCAGGTCTGGTCTCTAGAGTCTCTAGAGCTCCAAAACACGTCTGTTTTTTTTCTTCGTGGGTGATGAAGAAGGGCCTGTGATGCTTCCTCCAAACCTGCAAGGTGGGGGGGACGCTGGGGGGTTGGCAAGTGAAAGCTAGAAAGGACTCAAGGAGGACCTCAGTTGCACCTCTTCCTCCATGAATGAAAAGCAAAAAAGAATCCGTGATGGACGAAATATTTCTCCTAAGCCCCAAGCGGCCTGAATTGTCAATCTCTGAGCCTGTCTGGTCACAGCCACCTCGCACCACCAGGCTCACCACCCGACCTCACCACCTCGCGGGTCCGATCTGAGCATCCCGGCCCAATCAAATCGGGGCCTGGCCGATCCGATGGTCCCCCCCAGCGAAGGCCGACAGTGGACGCTTGGGGGGGGGGCGGTGTGAGGTCTCACTCTCCCAAGCAGAAGGTCATCAAAGAAGAGGCTGACGAATGCCATGCATGCCATGTAGGCCATGTGGCAGGAAACAGTGCTAGGCGTTGGAATTCCAAAACCAAAAAATGTGTTGCCCAAACTTGAGGTCTAGATAGGTCTAGCATCATCACATGACGTGATTGGTCTTGTAAGCCCGAGGAACGTTTCAATCGAATGAAAAAAAATATAAGCACCAGGTGGATTCTCACCCCAGACTACACTGTTTTCTTACACATCTGTTTCCTAACACTATCCACACACTCCCTGAAGTTAACTTGGCCCGCCTGTTGCACCCAGCACCCGTCAATCATGCTTAACCGGAGCTCTGAACTCTATGCATCAAGCCATTCAGAACGTTATACGTTGCAAGACTCACGTTATACGTCGAGGTGTAGCAACCGATGGCACTGGCACCCGGCCTCTCACCACGGATGGCGCCCGCCCGATCTTTTGGGAACATGGGCCCGGTGTCCGTCTTCAACCATGACCTCAGGGCGGGCCAGCCCAAAGTGTGCAGCGACACAGGCCCTTTTTCGGCCAGCTGAAGCCAGATCACGGAAGTGATGTGATTTCCCATCCAAAAACATCGAAAACACCGACCTCTGCAAGACCCGACCGCCTCTTCGCTCTCCTCCTTCGGCCCGGTCCCTAGCGGCCGGACGTCGGAGAGCCCGGCGACTTCACCTTCTGGGTGACGCTCGGCGCGGTGATGCGGTCCATGGCAAAGCGAAGGGAGCGAAAGGAGCTTCGGCAGCTCCGCACCGCGCGGCGTCTGGGGTCTGCACCGGGGAGGGAGATGGAAGTATCGGAGGGATGGTGTCTGTAGAAATACTGCTTCAGCTGCTGTGGGATTCAGTCATTTTGCTTGCAGCAATCATTATTGTGCACAATATGTTGTCTCTCTCTTTCACCTGTTGAGCAAAAGCCGCACAAAAAACAATGGAGACTGCAGTGCATTGGCGCTCAAGCTATCCACCTGGTCGTCATCAGCTTCTGTGCCGCTTAAGAGTCACACGCGAGGAGATGTGCCATGTTACAATGGTAGTCCCGAGAAGGATCAGAACTTTTGCACTAGGATTATTGGCCAAGAATTGAAGTCATCCATTGAAACTGTGATTTTATCTGCTGAACTTCTGTGCCGCTTGAGATTGTGAAACGCTCGGGTGCTCTTGCTTTGCATGCTTTGACTAGGGCTTGGGATCTCTCATGGCATGAGTTGCTTCAAGTTAAACACCGTTGGATGGTGGTCAAAGGCCCTTTGGCTGCCACCCAAGCTGTTCTCATGGATTTACAATGGACTGCCCCTGTTCTTGACAAGTGGATTGATCCACAGTTCAGGTTGTGGGACCTGAACTATGATGATGTTTCCTTACCTTGTGACCTTGAAAATAAAATCGTTTGTAGTATCCAACGCTTGGAAGGTCATGTCGTTGACTCCCAGTTATGTTGCCAACATGTTGGGGGTTCCCTGGATTTGCATTTCCATAAGAGCTTGTTGAGGAAGTCTTCTGTTACTGAGGCGACGCTTCTTCAAGTTTTGTGGCAGGGTAGTCTGTGTTGATCGAAAAATTCCCAGTTGCAGTGGTGCCCCTTTTGTCCCACTCAAGAACGCACTTGGCATCATATGTTCTATGAATGCCCTGGCTGCATTAAGAAGCATGGGGAGGTTCCTGCTGTGTGGGCGCCGTGTTTGGGTCAACTTGGAATGGAGCATTTCTGGTGCCGAGGGCTAGTTTCCCGCCGGACTATTGCCCCTCCTGCCGATGAGGGTTTGGTTGCTGTTGGCATTGTTCATGACCATGTTGAATCAGGCGCCACAATCCTCCTGGGGACTGATGGTTCGGGTGGTCCTTTCAGTGATGACCCCCGTCTTCGGAAGTCTGCGTGGGCTGTGGTTGCTCTTCGCATGGACGGCGATGAGTTTGTTGTGATTGGTACCATGTCTGGTGCTTTAGTTGACAGTGATGAAACTTGCAATACTGTCCCTCGAGCTGAACTTATGGCTCTGGTGAGGGCATTGGAAGCCTTGTCTTGGCATGATGGGCCTGTCCAAGTTGCCTTTCATGCGTCTTATGTGCAAACTACTTGGCAAAAGGTCTCACACAATAAGCATGTTGGTAACCCTAATGAAGATCTGAAAATGAGGCTTAGACGGTTGGATCGTCGCTCTGTGGAGCTGTGCAAGGTTAAATCACGCATGAGTCTCCAAGATCACATTGACTTGGGTCGTCCGGCTTGGTCCTGGCATGCTAATGCTGCTGCAGATTCCCTTGCTGGGGAAGCAGCAGTGGCCTTTGCCCCGTATGGAAAGGATAAGGCTAATGCTTTCATTTTAGGACGAGCTTGGCGCTTAAACAAGTGGTTGTTGCCTCGGGTCGGGTGCAATTTTGGTTGCGTCAGCAGAGTACCTGTAAACTTCCGAAGCAAAGTGAGTCTAGACGCACCAAGGATGCTTTCCTGTTGTCTCTAAGAAATAATCCTGCTGGAGGCCATGAGTGGGAATCCTCAGTCAAGGGTCTGTGCTGTTTGCGTTGTGGTAGAAAGTTGTCCAAATACAAAAGTTTGAGTGATCTGGAGGTTCTGGTGCAAATCCCATGTGATGGGATGAGTGGTGTCCGCGGGGTGCATTATACTCATACCATGTATGGTGGCACGCGGAAGACCTGCAATGTGTGTAAGGGAGTTTGTTATGCGGGGCGACGGATTAGCAAGAAATTGCGGCAACCATGTGGAACTTCCGGAAGAGTCTTGTACAGACGGAGATAGTTTGGGCTGGTAGTTTGCTTGGAAAAATAAGCTGAACTTCAGCTGGTTCTGTCTGCGCTCTGCTCTTGAGAGTACTGCCAAGTGCTCCTGTCCGGAAAGAAAGTTTAAACAGAAGATGAACAAATCAGAGTTATATAATATACTGTCAAGGACAGAAAGTTGAGTCTTCGAGCCATTTGGCGGTTCCACCTAGTCTGTGTGGTGGAGCAGAACCATCGTATTCTTGCAAAATTGAGCCGTGCAAGCCCTGCAGGCGCTCGCTGCAAGGTGTGTGATACCTTTGAAAGGAATGCAACGATGAAAGGAGCAGTCATGTCAGGCAGCGAGAGAACCAGATCCAGCTTCACCCTCAGCCAAGGGTCTCCGTCCTTGCTCACCTTCTCCACCTTTCCAACTTTGAAACCACAAAAAAGTAGGATGAGTACTTCTTCTTCAGGGAAATGTGAAAACTTCTTGATGCGGATTGGGCTGACATGAACCGCATCCATGTTGCTGTCACAATGACTCTACCAGCATCAGCTTCATTCCACGCCGTCCATCCTTTTGCTGTTCTCGGCAAACTTTCGTGCCTCCTCGTTCTCAGATTTCAAGGTGAATGACCGGAAGAATATTAGCTCATCTTGGCTCTTCTCATACTGTGAAACCTCTTCATCTGAAATCCACATGGCTCGAAAGCAGACTCCTGAGAACTTCAGTGATGAATCCTTGTCTGAAGCTGTTTGAAGTGCAAGGAGAAGTGCCTCTGATAGCTTCGCTGTTTTCAGGAACTCTACTGTTGGCTTTTTGCTCCGCAACTCCGAGTTCAGGGTCTTGTAGATGTTCGCAGGGGAGCCTTGAGTGTACTTTACTTGTTAAGGAGCTCATCGTACTTTTCTTGGGGCGATTCAAAAATTGCAACCAATTGGTCACGCTCCTCCACCTCCTCCACCTCCCAATGCCGGGGTGTTCGCTCAGACCGCAAAATGAGCAGGTGGTTCACCGCTTCTTTGGTAGAGATCTGATCCGCACGATTGTATAGTTCCTGGTGACCATCCACTCGTCGAGCCTCGTCGATAGCTTTGTGCCTAGGTTTGGGGAATGCCTTCGAAGAAACAACAATGACAATGACCTTGGCAAATAAGTCCAATCATCACAAGGGCTTGTATACACACCACCCAAATAGGACATAAAGTGTAAAACATCACAAGGCTTTATATTTGACAGGATCAAGAATCATCAGGCAGCAACCTAGTCTTCACGCTCATTGTGAACTGTGTGCCCGATGTGTTTTTGTTCAATTTATTTTGTTATATTGTTGTATTTGTCTTTGCATTATGTTTGCAATGGTTTTGTGTGTTTTATGATTTTGTGATTCATTAGAATTAGCATTAATCCAGGTCATAACCTTAAGGGGTCAAGCGAGTCTGCGAGTCTGGCGGAACCGGCTGCAAGCGAGTCCGGCGCAAACCGTGCTGCACCCACCGCCTTTACTACTTACACTGTCGCCGTTCTTCGCATGTTACTCATTAACGCGTCTCCGTTCTACTATGTGTTCTGCGTTCTTCTGTCTTTCTTTGCTTTATATATCTGTCTTTCCTTTTCCCCTTTCTCTCTCTCTCTCTTTATCGCATGTTGTCTTTCTTTCTTTCTTTCTTGTTGTCTTCTTTCTTTATCTCTTCTCTCTCTCTCTCTATCTCTCTCTACTCCCACTGCAATACCGCACAACTCTCCTTTTTAGGTTCTAATTCCGTTTTAATTTCATCCAACAACGAATCTGAATGGCCTAAAAAACTAGTCTGTGCGGTAGGCCGTCGCGTAGCATGCACAAAAAGAACGCGCGGCAAGATTTGCGACGCATCCAAAGTCGTCGGCACTTTGAGGCGTCGACGCACTTGCTTTTTCATCTGACGACGCAGAGAACCGCCAATTCCTGGCTGGTGACACAGCATAGTTTTTCAGCACATCAGCCTGGTGCGAAAGCTGCATGAGAACCGCAGAGAGCGGGCAGTTGGCTTGCAATTTTAGCTGCTGCCCCAATCCTGCTTTCAGGCACCAAAACTTGGTGACACATGGCAGGGCTATGTCAAAGAAACCACTTCAACTTAAAACGCCGTCCTCCTTTCACAAACCTCATCATGCAGGTCCTTGAGCTTGAACGTCCCAAAGTTTCAAACTCAGAGCTGAAACATTATTGAACCCAGAAAGGTACAGCCAACGCTTGATTGGTTTTTTGGCTTTATATAGTGACGACACACACTTGGAATAGTGAGACAGTCAAAACATAGTTTGGGGGTTGTCTTTTTCACTTTTTCTTTGCACATACAAGTATATGTTCAACAAAGTCATGACTGCTTCATGCCTGCGACTTCTCCTGGTGAGTCCCCCAGTGGCAACACTGACTAAGAAGTAAGAAGTGGATTGGTGAAAAGAATTAGTCTGCAACCGTCTCCCTTGCGATTGCCTTCTGGACGGGCACTTGAGCACTAATGTTGTTGCTTCTTGATTTTGTTATCTGGCAGTGCGGCAAACCTTCACTTCTGTCTGCCATTGTCTCGACTAAAGTGATGAGGCTTGTTAATCCACTGTACCTGGTAATTACCTGCTGCCAAACCTCAACCAAATGGGTGCACAGGATGCTCAATGCCAAAAAGCACAGTGAACAGCTTGGATTTGTTCTCACAGAACTTCTTCGGATCGTTGTGAAGCCTCTATGGAACTTTGGCCCCATCATATTTTTCTTGAACCACTAGGTAAGTTCCTTCAATTCAGTAAAGTTCCACTCCAGGGCCTAAAGAATGCAAAGCTTGCAAATCTATCCGGCCTAATGCAGATCACACATCGCAAAATTACCAGAGAACTGCCTACTGAGAAGGGAAAGGTTGAAGGTTTGAAAGCTTCAGTGTTCATGTTGTCCATAAATGTTTCAAGGCCATGACATCCACCAGGTCCTTTGTGATTGTCTGCTGTCGAAAAGCGGTGGAAAACCACATCTGACTATGCATTCACAACACTACGGCCGCAAACCATCATGAATCATCGAAATTGTCATAACCACTGCGAACTGCCACAAAGCACTACATGATCACAAATGACTTAAACAACCAGAAATTCTGAGAGATCTATGACTCGGCTTGTGGAGTAGGGAATTGTGGCTGGTTGCTTGTGGATCTGGCTACAAAAATCCACAAACCTTGTGAAATTGCCAGATTCATCGTAACACAATAAATGTTTTCCTGAAAGTGAGTGGCACGAGTACACACGGAAAACTTTAGGACATGAACATTCACTTAGTGACGCGTCACTACGTCCAGAGCTCCAAAAGCCGCATATTCCCACGTAGAGTTCCGAAGTATAGGAAGTACCATATAGATGGCATAATTTTACATTAACTAAGAAGGAATAAAGGGGGTGTCCAAACCTCATGGGCCTGTACAGGGCCCCTGGGCCGGTGTGCCATGTTAGGGAGTAGACTGCTTTTTCCTCTATTCTGATTTCTCTGTCCTTTAAGCCTGCTACAGTATCATGTTTTTTGATTCTTTTCCTTTCCCCAGTCTCCCCTCTCATCACCTGACATGTGCCATCTTTGTGGTCCACTGCTCCCCCTTTATATTATACTGTTCATTCAAAGTGGCCGGTGTTCAATGCTTTGGGTTTTTGTTCTTCCTTGGCTATCATTCCTGCTTTGCTTCCTGCCTTGGTCTTCTTATATACATAGTTTGTATGAATATATAGCTTCTTTCCTCTGCTCCTTCTATTTGTTCTTCTTTTTTTGTTGCAATCTCCTGTTTCCCCTTTCTGTTTATGCGCCATCCCATGTCACCTGATTGCCTGTGTATTTTTATTGATGTTATGTATGGATGCCATCTTTGGGAGCGGCCAAATCTACTAGTTTTATCCCACCTGTTCGTTTGGCTTAGATGGATTTTTGAGCGCTTTTTCGTGATGCCATCTATACGGTGAAGTCTATACCCTTTTGAGAACTAACAACTAAGGTATCCCACTGAATGGATTCCAATCGAGGGACTTGGGGATATATATATATATATAGGGCCTTAGAGACTTAAGTGAGAAAAATGTTCAGGTTCAAGAAACGTGGGACTAGTGACAAATTGGTTTGCGAAGAACACAAAAAAATCACGTTTCAATGAAAAAGGGTCACTCTGGGCGTTGGAAATGAATTGCCTTGGGTGCACACGGGTAGGAAGCGTATTGAAGGTGCGTGTGTGTGTGTGTGTGTGTAAATCCCTTGGAATCATAGGGCTTCCTTCGAAGTTGTAATTGTTAGCAGCGGGTGCCAACGAAGCTGTTCCACAATGTGGGAAGCGGAGATTGATCACCTCCGTGTGCCTGCTTTAAACACACTGACCCCAATGGTCTTCCCTTGCTTAGGTTGTTTCCAGGTTCATTAGGTGCTGTAAAGTGCTAACGACTTCTGCTGATGTGCACGACCGCTGTCATCTTGTGGCTCTCGTCTGCTTTTCGAGCTCTTCGAGTTTAGTGGAATTTCATGGAGGCTTCTTTGAGGCCTCATGGTCAGAATGCCTTACTTACACTCATCCTGGTGTCTTAGGTTTTACTTAGGCTGGCGAGTGGCAAACCGCAATCGAGTCAGTCCGCAATATCTTGAGTGTGTGTTGTAACCTTGTCGCTGGTGAGCGGGATAACTGGCGGTTTGCCAGAAGAGCATTACAAGAGTGTCCCGCAAGAATGCCCTACAAGAGTGTCCCACAAGAGTGAAACGATGCGAGAACCTATATGCGTGTATCTTTCTGACCCGGGCTGGGTGCGCAGGCAAAGGCCCCATCCACCTACCCAAGCCCCGGCATCGTTGAGGTTCCGAATTGCCTGGAGCTCAGCCTCTGTTGGATCCATGTTGGCGAATCGCCGATTCAGGACTCCACTCGCAGCCCGCCCTTTTGTCAGCCTGGATCCCTCAGGGTTCCTGAGGGTGAACTTCTTGTACTTCCCGAAGGCTATCACAAAAAAAGACCTATGCCTGAGCTGCAGCTCTTGTGAGTGTCCCTTTTGGTACACATGTGTCACTGTGAACGTGGCTGTGCCATTTACTTCCCATGCTGTGCCTCCTCATCTTCAATCTGCCCTCTCCCATGTTCACTCACACACCAACTCAACTCACAAA